AGCGCTTCTTTCAAGAAAATTACCATAAAAGGAAATTTTCAAGAAATCAGTGGTGAACGGGTGAGAGTTTTTTTTTACATCTAAATAATACAATATATTGTTAGAAGTTAAAATCAAATTATATATATATTTAACAATTATCTAAAAATATGTCTTAGGTTTTAGATTATTAAAAATAAATCAAATATCTTTTGAGATATTCAGATTATTAGATATAATATGGATTTTGTGATGTCAAAATTGTTACAGATAATATGTAAAGATTAGAAATTCTAGTTATTATTATAAACAAGTTGATAACAATAATAAAAATTTTTTATTTATGTCTCAATAATATAAGTTTTTTATATAGAATTAGATAACAACACCTATAAAAAAAATTTAATATTATTTTATATTTAAACATTTTTTTCAATAAATCATTATTTTATATTTAAATATTTTTTTTACTGCTTCATTGCTTTATATTTGTATTGAGTCTCATTCAAATATTTAAATAATATTACCTTGTATATAAAGTATTTTGTGAAGAATAACTGTTCTTTTTTTTAATTTGACTTAGACTTAGTCAATTTAAAGCAATTTTAAAAATTTTATTAATAATATTTAGTTAAGAAAATGATTATTTAATTAAAGTCTAAAGCAAATAATATTTCATCTGCTATATATTAAGTTATATTTAAAAAGCAAATATATTAATTTTAGTTATAACTTGAAGATCAACTTGTATATAATGATTATAGTATTTTTATGTTATTAAGTAATTAAATTTTTCTAAATAATTAAATACTATCCAAAATATAATATAGATTTTGAACTTTTTTTTTATATATTCTTAAATGGTATCAATAAGTTTAAATAAAAATAAACTACTATTGTAAGTCTTATATTAAACTTTTTCTAACAAAGAGATATATATATTATGCTAAAAATTATAAAGTTTATAATTATAAATCTAAATTCTAATAAAAATAAAGTATAATAACTATCTGTTTTTTCAAAAAAAAAAGTTTTAAATAACAAATGATAAAATTACAATTGGAAAAAAAAGAGCAAATAATTTTTCTTAAATAATATAAACAAAAATCAATATTAATAAAATTAAAAAATTCCAAATATAAAATAAATAAATGAACAAATTATTTATATAAAAGCAAAAGATATTTAAATATTAAATCTTTTAAATAAAAGTTTATAATCTAAAAATAAAATCCAAATTAAACTTATTTGAACTTTAAAAAATTTTAAATGTTTTTAAGCAAATTTCAATAGAAATATAAAAATTTTTTTTAAAAAATAAATTCTTATAAAGAAAACAAAAAATTAAAAATTAAATCTTTAGTATTTGAGATTTTTAATTAATATTCAATTTTTAAAAAAGTAGATGAATCTTTAAATTCTAATCAATATATATATTTTAAAAAATAAAGTTAAAAAAAAATTAAAATTTTTTAAGAAATAAAAAATTATTAATAATTATATTATAGCAATAAAATAAAAGATCTAAAAGTACAAATAATCAAATAATATATTTAATCTTTAAAATATATATAAATTCTCACAAAATAATATAAAATTAATAAAGAAAACAATTTTAACAATTTATTGCTTTTATACAAATGCATTATATGAAAAAATAAAATATTAAATATTAAGAATGAATATAATTTGACTATAAGATTTATTACTGATTTTTTAAAAATTTCTTTTTATAGTAATTTTCTTGAAAAAAATACTTTCCTTTCTCTTTTTAATAAGCCAACTATGCTATAAGCTTAAGGATGTAACAACTTTAAGAATTACTGTTACATTGAAATATGATCTTTGGTTAAAGATCAAACAAGTTTAGAAGTCTTATTTATTTTTTAGTTATATAAAAAAAAACATATGACAATTTTCTTTTTAATTTTGTTTTTATACACCTTCTCCTTTATTATTATTATAACAATTATCTTTTTTATCATCCTTAATATTACTAACTTTTTCCTAAAAATATATTCAAGTAAAATTATGGGTTTTCTTACTTGTCTCAACTAAACTCTTTTTAATAACTTTTATATGGTATGATTTACTGCACCACCTTAATAATATCAAAAAAAATTTCAAACTTAAAAATTAAAATCAGTTTAACCCCTTCAAATAATCTATATAATCTCAATAGTAATTAAATTTTAACACTTCAATCTAACAAGAATTAAATTAGTATTAACTTGTTAGAAATGACAACAATAATAATATTATATAAAAACTATTAAAGACTTATCAAATTAAAATCAATTTCTTGAAAATCTACTATATTATAAAAAAAAATATTATTACTTGACTTAACTTAGTTATTTATAAATAGGTATTAATTATTTATAGATTACCAATAATTTGTTTTTACCTATTAGATGTTCTTGTAAATTAAAGGTTTTTATATATAATAAGCTAGAATTGACTTTTATAAAAAGTAATGTAAAAGATTTTTAATATAATAACTATAAACAATTTGTTTAATAAAGATTTTATATTTAATACTTATTTATAGTAATATATATATATATATAAAATAATAAATATATTGGATTATAAGCCTTAAAAATGAAATTAAAAACATAAATAAAAATTATTATTATTATTATTATAGAAAAAAAAAACTAAAAAATTGAAAGTAAAAAAAAAATATATATATATAAGTTTCAATATTTTACAAAAGATAATATAGAAAATATCAACTTTTATCAAATTTAAAATAAAGTATTGATCTGAAAATAAATTAGAAGAAAAAAAATTTTTTGTTTAGTAATAAATTATAAGTAATAATCTTTAATATTAAATTTAATAAATAAATAAATATTAAAAAGAACAATTTTATTTATTTTTAAAATTATATCTAAAGTATAACAATACAAATAATAAAATAAGTAATATAAAATATATTATATAAATAGTATAAACAAGTCAATAAAAGAAGTATTGCAATTGGAATACAGTTATTTAAACTATATCTCTTTAGGATATTTGGAACTTGAAATATTAATAATAGTATATTTCTATAAGTCATATAAATATTTGTTACATCCTGTAATAATTAAAACCCTTATTAAATATGGAATTATTATTGGTATTTGGTAAAATACCAATAGAATTTTTATTATTAATTTTATTTACTTATTTGAGTTATAAAATATATTTCTATAAATAGTTTGATATTGTATTAATTAATTATATTAGTTAATATTTATTATTTGTTTTCTATTTGTTTTTATTTACTTTTATTTTTTATAATATTATATGCATATGATCTTTAGAAAACCAATAAGATTATATGTATTCTATTCTATTATATATTATTATTTTATTTATTTATATAGAAAAATTATTTATATAAAGAAACACTTTTTTCTTTGAAAAATAACAAAGTTGTCTAGTTTCTCTTATATTTAATAAAGTTTTTCTTTATTAATCCTAATATTATAATATTTTTATATATTAAATATTATATAGAAATATTAGTTTAAGATAGATATTTAAAAATAATAAAATAATTTATACAATACAATATACAATATATTATTTTTTTTTATAAAAATTCAATAAATAATATATATTTGTTTAACTATAGATTTAAAAAAAAAAGGATATTTTTTTTTTAAAAGAGCAAATAGTTATTATACTTATTTTATTATTATAAATTTGATTTGTAAAATATAAGATTTATAATTTTAATAATATAATATATATATATATATTAAAAAAACTTGATACAAATTGTAACTTTAATAATAAGTTAATAAAAGTTCATATGCAATGTACTTTGTTTTTTAAAAAAAAAAAAAAACTTGATACAAGATTTGCTTATATAGTTTTATTTTTTTTACTTTTGATATTACTTAATAAATATAACAAAAAGAAATTCAAATCCTATATTAAAACCTATTACATATTATAGTTTTTTAATATTATTTATAATTAATTAAGATATGAAATAAAAATTTATATATAGTTTAATTTTTAATAAACTTTATTTAAATTTTATTTATTTTTTTTTAAAATAACTTATAATAAAAAATAAAATAAAAATAATTTTTTAATTTGTTTAATCTAATATTTTAAAAAATTTTTATAAATTGTTTAAATAAAATTTATTATAAAATAAAATTATTAAATGCCATTTTTAAAAAAAACTAATAAAAAGAATATTTTAATAAATAATAAAATATAAAATAATTTAATAAAATAAAATTTTTAATGTTTACGGTTTTTATATATAATAACAATTTTTATAAAAATCTATTATAATTCTTTTATTTTTAATTATAAGTATATTACCGATATATACGGCATTTTATTTTTATTTTATATAAAATGAAATATATTATTATTGTATATTCGTTATTTACTTCATTGTGATTCACAGAATATAATTTATTAATATTTTATTTAGAAAAAATGAGTTTGATTTCATATGTTATTCTTCTTTATCATGCATTTTTCCGAATGGCTTTTATTTGGCCAATCAACAAACGAGTAACAAATATGAAGAATAGTATATAAAGTTCAAATTTTGTTTTTCATTTCATTTGACATTGTAAAGATTTTTCCTCTACTCTTATCCAAAAATTTCACATATGAGCATTCGAATACTGATCTTTCTTTCTGGAATATTATTTCTCAAGTTTATTCTCATAATACCTACATGGGCAGAAGAATTTGCGGAATCAGGCGATTCTATGAGATCTTCCCCTGAACCGATAGGAGAATTAAGAACGGTCACTTTAAAACATGTTTACCATCATGGTTCCTCGCGTTTTCCTAAACTACTCCGCCGCAAAGACTTCACAGAAGTTTCATTACGTGCCCAAGAACTTGAGACGGGTGAATCTTTCACTCACGCCATTAGAATCATAAATGGTACAAGTGTATCCTCTTCAAGACATACTGTAGAAGAGTTCCGGCAGAAGTCCCAAAATGATCATGTCTCATTAATTATGGATTGGAAAGATAAGGGAATAAGGTTACCAAAAATAAGGGATTTAGAAACCCTAACCAATTTTGCAAAGATGACCTACAATGCTTATACTGAGATTGGTAATGAGGATTGGTATGATCTGGGTGATAGGTATCGAGTGGTAGGTTTTGCTTAATAATTTTTCTGTCTCCCTATATACTTGCATGATTTTAAACTTGGTATGTTTTTTATAGAACGATTCTTTTGGATGGGATAAAGATGGTATCCGAGGCCATGTTTTTGGTGACGCTAATAATGAAATATTAATTATTTCACTTAAAGGCACCAGCATGGGCTTTGGAGCCGGTCCGACGGTACCAAATGACAAGTTGAACGTAAATTTCATTCAAAATTTATTACCCATAATATCGAGGACATGCTCGTTTACGAATCGTACTTTTTTTTTTTCAGGATAATCTTCTGTTCTCTTGCTGTTGTGCTAATGTTGATCGTACTTGGACACCAGTATGTAAATGTCGCATAGAAAGTGACCGTTGCGACAAAGCCTGTTTGGAAAAAACCGTAGACTTGGAGGAATCATATTATAATGTAGCACGGGTAAGTATATTAATTAACTGTCAGATCAATTTAGATAATATTTATTTAATTTCACATATAACAGCGTCTTTTTGAAAGAGTAAGTGAGGATTTTCCGAAAGCGCAAATCTGGTTGACTGGTCATTCTCTCGGTGGGGCACTTTCCGCTTTGGTTGGAAATACCTTTGGTGTACCTGTCGTAGCGTTTGAATCTCCTGGTGAGAGGTTACCTGCCCAAAGGTTACATTTACCAGGTCCTCCTGCCTTACCATACCACAAAATGAACATATGGCATATTGGTCACTCAGCTGATCCTATTTACATGGGAGTTTGTAATGTATGCAATATTTTCTACGTATACGGTATTCTTTAATTGTTATAGCATATTTACGTCGTTATTTTTATAGGGTCTTGGAAGTTCCTGCTATATAGGTGGATATGCTGTGAGTTATCTATCTCTATTACTTTACCTATTATTTCTTCTTGGTGCTTATTTTATTGATGACTTATACATTCTATTATTTCAGATGGAAACTAAATGTCATCTAGGTTTTGCAATGCTATTTGATGTTGTTGAAAAGTTCAACTGGAGGATTGATGTCCGAACTCATCGTATAAAAGATGTCATAGAAAGAATATTGAATATCTGGGAATGGGAGCTACCAAAATTGGAACCAGAATTCGAATGCGAGGATTGTGGTTATTGGAATTTTATCGATGTTTAGTTTTCAATGAGCGGAAAATATCGAACGCTAGTAGAGAGGTTTTAACCGTAGAAAAAATCATTTTTCTTTATTTTAAAATACAAATTTTTAAATCTGTACATCATTATTAGAAAAATTATTAAATAGTTATCATCATTATTCTGTATTCATACCATAATTAAGTTTGCTCATTTCTGACAAAAACTCCCATTTTCTACGCAGGTCTGTTGGGATCTACAAGTATTGCAAGAACTCGGGGTAGGTCGCAACACCTGCAAGTGCTGGATGCTCTGATTATATAGAATGAGATAGCAAAAGATGAATCAGTCAAATAAGCATATTGAAATTCAGAGTACGTTGTGATAAGCAAATGTGTAAACATGACATTCGTTGAACATTTGTCCTCAATCTTGTAATTCTTGAAACTAGTTGATAATAGGCTACAGCTTTATCAAGAAATCAAAAAGGCTAATGCAAATCATTCAAACCTAATTGAGCAAACTTCTTTTTTAACATTTCATTATTTAATATACCATTATTTTTTATTTCATTTTTTTGTAAGAGAAGATTTTTCAGAGAATAGTATCAAAAATAAAAATAATAAAAAAAATCCATATGTTAAAACGATGTCTAGGCACGATCTCGTTTTCACATTTACTATCTTACTCTTTCTTTAAAAAGTAATCTAAACTGTTTCTCTTTCTCATACCAGAATTCTTATTTGAGAAATTTCTATAAAGGAAAAGGAATAAAAAAAAAGATCCGATGGTTGATTTTCTACTTCGATTAGATTAGATTATACAGTAATTAGTGTCACATCTGATAACATTAGATAACGGATATCTCCGTATTTAGAAATTTTTATTATGATTTAATTGAATATTTGTAAATGGTAATAAATAATATGTTTTACAAAAAATTGTAACTTGTTTAAATTACAAATTTATATATTTTAATTAAAAAGTTTTAAATATAATTTAAATTTTAAAAATAATTTTATCTTTATAATAATGTTGATAGCAATATTTAAATAAACAAAAAAAATATTAATGTTAATAAAACAATTTGTTAATAATTGTATTAAATATAATATTTTATTTATTTTTTTTTTCTGGTAGGTAAACATTATTTCTTTATTAATAGTATTATACTGAAGAGTTATATACATGGTGAAAGAAACAACATCTCTTGTATGCAAAAATGCAACAAGTTAAATACTAGCTTGCCTACATATCTATATCTAACTAATATTGAAAAAAAAATTTAAAACAATATTATATATGCTAAATATAGTTGAGTAGCAGCTATGCCTACTTACTTAGAATTTTTTGATTGGATGTAAAGAAATTTGAAAGTAAAGAAAAATTAAAAAAAACAAAAATAAATTAAAGCTATAATAATATGAGCTACTGAAATTATAATCAAATCATTTAAATTATAAAATCTATATAAATAAAAGTAAAGTCTCTAAGAGAATCCCTAGTTTGGCTTAATAATTCATTCTGTTGATTTTTTACTATTTGTTGATATTGCTTTTGTTGACATAAATAGTAGAGTATAATTAATATTGTTTATTGTTTTGGTAGTAGTAGTTGTTATTATTGTATTGAAAAACTGGTTTGACTAGTTTGGTTTTTTCTTTGTTGTTTTGACAAAATCTGATTAAATAATTGAAGAGTAATGATTATCTGAAAAAGATAAACTAATTTCGATTTTTTGAAAATTTTGAAATAGCACAGTAAATAATGTTATAGTAAAGTTATATGTAAAGATTGTATTAAAATAAACAATAAACTCAACAACTTTGTTTAAATATGTTTTTTGAAAAGTGTTTGGTTTAGTGAATGTAATAATATTGATATGAATGGTTTTTATAATATAGTAAAAAGAAGAAGAGGTGTAAGAGAACAAAAGAAAAGAGAACTGCCACAGATCTTTCCTTATGTAACCGAAGAATAAACAAAACTCCTAAACTTGAGTAAATTTTGACCAGAGGTCTCATTTCACTGCATTAGTTGTTTTAAAAATTCTTGAGTTCTTAGGTTGGGGCTCATTTGTAATAAAGAGTATTAAATATTTTTTTTACTTAAAATTATTATAAAAGAAAAATTTTTAACAAAACAAATATAATTAGGAGAGAGTTTTTTTAAATATAATATTTTATTAAAATTTTGTTATTTATTTTTAAATTAAAAGTTTTTATAAATTTTAACTTATTAAAATTAAGATAATATACAATAAATCTGAATATAATAAAGGAATCTAATTTATACTTTTTTTTTTATTATAGTAGATTTTTGTTATATCCAGATAATTTTATTAGAAAAAATTTAAAAATTTAAAAAAAATACTCCATTATATCTAGGTATTTGTTATATTCAAACTTTATTCAAACTTCATTATATTCAGGTTTATTATATATATAAATTCTAAAAATTTATATAAAAAAAAATAATAATAATAAATTATTAATTATATTATAATTAATATATTGTATATGGGTAATTATTTTTGAAAATAAACCAAAAATTTTTTGGGCCTAAAATAATAACCCTAAAATTATAAAATTATAATTTTAAATTATATATATAATAAATTATAATAAAAAAAAACTCTTTTTCATATATAACATTTTTCTTAAAAATTTCCTTTTATAGTAACTTTTTAAAAATTAAAGAAAAAAACATCTTTTTCACTTTCCAATACCTACAAGTTCTTTATATCTTTCTAGTCTTCACTACAAAAACCTCAAGAAAACCAAAGAAATATACTGATGCATCAAGATAGGATCTCTTGTCAGGAAGAAGCAAGTTTGAGGACCTTGCTCTTTTCTCGAATTGCATGAGGAAAGGCTCGTGGCAGTTATTTCTTTATAGATTTTTCTTGAGGCTTTTTCCATTTTCACTTCTTATCAAAACACTTCTTATCAATATACAAATACTTTTAAATACTTCTTTTCTTTTGCCAAAGGGTCTTCTTTTAACACAAAACTCAAAACTTTATATCAAAACTGTATATATTGTTGATTTGGGGAATAAGCAATATATACTGTTACACTTGATCTTCGCCCAAGATCATCACTACCCCTTGT